GGCTTGATTAAGGACTAAGACATTCTACCATAACTATTTAATATAATTTAGTTGAAATTACACGAAACCATACTTTAAGTATTCAATATTCCAAAATCAGATTTTAAGGTTTAAGTTTCAAAAATCAGATATTTTACACATAGATACAGGTTTCAAAAATTAATAATTAATTTATAAAATAAATATTTTTACTAAAATATATATACTCCAAACCGGCAAACCCTAATTAATTCACACTCCTCTCTCTCTCTCTCTCTCTCTCTCGATATTCTCTTCATTCTCTCCTATCACAAAAAAATCATCGGAGTTTCCATCGCACATGAACCGTCGTTGCCCGTCGGAGATCGCCGCCGACGAAGACACTCTCAGGCACGAGAAGCCGCTGCGTGTAGCTCTGCACTTATCGGCGATAGAGGTGGATTTCGAGGCGAACGTGGAGGTGGAGGTGGTGGATCTGATGGACTCTACAAAATTCGAGGCGGTGGCACAACAAGTGGAGGTGGAGGCGGTAGGCTCTGTACAGAAATTCGAGGCAATGACACGACACGTGAAGGCGGAGGACTCTGCACAAAAACTAGTGACTTTCGTCGGGTTTTGTGGATTCTGCACATAAATTCGACGAACGTCTTCTCAGAGACAATATCTGCTAGTCCCTTTGGCTCACCAAAAAATTCGAGGCTGCCGTTTTTGATGTATTGGCTGTCGCCGGATTTTGTGGATTCTGTGCTGGGGGTGGTGTAAACGGAGATGGTGGTGGTGGTAGTGCGTGTGTTGCGGGTGTGGTGATGGGGGGTTTGGCGAGGGCGAGGGCGGTTTTGTGGTGGTGATGGAGTCGACTGGCAATGGCGGTGGTGTGGGTTCAGATCTTGTTGACGGTGGTGATAGTGGTGCTGTTGGTAGGTGTTGTGTTGTTATTATTGGTAGCGGCGGCTGCGGCGACGGCCACGGGATGGGATGAAGAGTGCTTGTAACCAACTATTTGGTCGATTTGTGATCAATGGTGGTGGATATGGATCGGGGGTGTTTAGTGGTGATTCGTTACTAAGATCGGTGGTGGATCGTGATCGGTAGTGGGGCCATGGTGTATGTGACCAACTATTTCGATTAACTGTGACCTTAAAATTCGA